ACGCTCTTTGATGGTCGCGCAGGCTCTGAGTCCTTCTCTTTCGCGGTTGTAGCCGGGGCCGAGCAGGTTGGCGTGGGCGGCGTGGACGTCGTAGCCCTCGTCCAACTTTCTCTTGAGCCAGGGCAGGCCGACGAGCACGGCGAGGTTCTTCCACACATCATCGCGACCCAGCTTGACGGCCTCTCTGACGCTGTCGGATGCGCCCAGCTGGGCGCGGGGGATCTCGCCGCCTCGCACCCTCAGCACACGGGCGCGCTTGAGGCCGTAGAAGTTCTCGGTAAAGGAGCCGCCATAGGTGCGTAGAAAGTGGCGCTCGACGAGGAGCATCAACAGCGCGTAGACCTCATCGAAGGAATTGAGGACGGGCAGCAGATATCGTGGGTATCGGGGCGTTGCGACGGCGAGCAGGTAGCGCAGCGACGGGGGGAGCAGCGACGAGAGTTGTTGTTCCGATAGCAGTTCAAACAGCGAGGGCTTGAGGTCGTCTATGCCATGCTGGAGGGCGGGCAGGAACTCCATGGCGCCCGGTCAGAGATGGGCAGACGGACTGGTTGCGTCTTCATTGATGCCCTGAGATGGGGTTGAGGATGTGCCATGGCTTGTTGACAGGCACGGAGGCACGCGCGCTGCAGCCGAGGCATGCTCGGAGCTTACTACGTACCTCGCCTGTCTGCCCGACGCGTGTGTACAGCCTATACGTCACACTCGTACGCGCCCCCATTCACCGACTGTCACGGCTCCGAGTGAGTCAAGCAGTTGACTTGACATAGCGACAGCAAGACACTCTCATTTTGTCTGCTACACATAATATACTGTAGCCATGGATCCCCACAACGAGCGATGCACCGAGCTGCAGTACCCCGACCTGGTCAACTTCTCCGTCTCCGTGTATGTCCGATATGCATTCATTCTAGCAAAATGCACTTGACTGACCTCTACGCCTCACAGATTCATTGTCTTCGGCATCCTCGTATCATACCTGCCCCAGCACTACAAGATCATATCCCGCCGCTCTTCCCGCGGCCTCAGTCCCATGTTCGTCCTACTCGGTACCGTGTCTGGCACGGCCAGCATCGCCAACATCTTGACCCTGCCTGAGAGCACAAGAGACATGGCCTGCTGCAAAGAAATCGGAACCTTCCCCTGTGCAGCAGCTATGCTAGGGATAGTCCAGATAGGCGTGCAGTGGAGTTGCTTCTTCTTCATGTAGGACGCCATCACCAACGGCAGCATCAATAACAGTGCTAACAGCCACCTCCAGCATGCTACTATTCCTCATCTTCTTCCCCCGAGACGCCCCATCAATCGTAGAGGAAGAGCAAGATTCCCAAATGCCGACATGGAAAGAAGCCGTACTGGTCCTGGCTGTGTCTGTTGCCTTCTTCGTCGTTGCTCTGTTTGGCTCTGTAGTCTTCGTATACGCCGTCCCGTCCCATGTCCGCGGCTGGGCAAACTTTCTCGGCCTCCTCGCTACTGTGCTTGCAGCTATACAATACATACCTCAGATCCTCATGACTTGGAAGCTGCAAGAGACAGGCAGTCTTTCCATTCCCATGATGTGCATCCAGACGCCTGGCAGCTTTGTCTTCGCTGCTAGTCTGTATGCGCGCTTGGGGCCGGCGGGCTGGAGTGCATGGGGTTTGTTCATCTTTACCGGCATCCTGCAAGGCTTCCTACTAGCCATGGGTATTTCTTTCGTCTTAAGGGATCGCAAAGCTCAGCAAGCCCAGACGGTAGGTCATGCTAACGGAAACGGGGTTTCGGAAGGTAGTGAACGCACCCCTCTGCTAAATAGCGAGAGATGATATTGTCAACAATCACCATGTCTTTGTTCTCTGATTTCTTGTCCTGCCCATGTGACCTTTGCAATCATGCAGCACTTGCAGAAGCTGCGTCGTACCAAGATTGGCTTTTGACATTCGGGTACTCGTTGCTCCAAGTACTATAAAGACGGGCCCCGCTAGATTTCAGCTCACATCTTCTGCACTTCTTGCCTTGTACTTATTCTGAATCCTTCGTTAAAAGTTCTCTCCGATGTTCCATGCACATTGTTGAAATCATGGTGAACAGACCGACGACACACAGCCGTCGTACCCGATTAGAGTGGCGACGATGACGAACGCTCAGCCGAGCTGAGGTTGTTTGGATCCACGGCTGCTATCGTTCTTGGTCACTCCATCGGTACCGGTCCGCCCGCAACCATTAATTTCTCGCAGACACAAGCCAACGTTGTGGCAATGTCCGCCTCTACGCCAAGCTGGCCTAACGTCCTTTTTGGCAGGTATCTCAAAACCGGCCTTGGCCTTTTGGCAAAAAAGGATTAACACTCTTACGACCTTCTCTTCCGGACGCAGTACAGGCCGAGCTCGTGATAAGAGTGGACCGTCGACGATGTTGTGCGTGCATTTATCCATGGATCCGGTGTTTACCAAGATTTGGTGTAAATCACGTATTAGTATATGAAGATGCCTCGCTGCCTGTGCAAACAAAATGCCCTGCGCACCAATTCAAGACTTGATTTATTGAATCGCCGAGATGAAGTTTTCAAGTGCAATCGCCCTCGCGGGCGCGGCGCAAACCTTGGCTGCAGTCAGGCCTCGCCCTATGGTCTCGTCCGGAGCTATTCAGGACCAGATCACTAGCGAAAAGTATGTTTGATTTTGGCATTTCAAAGGAAAATCCATTAACAAAAAGACAGGTTGATGGGCAATCTGAAAGCATTCGACACGATTGCAAAGGCCAATGGTGGAAACCGTGCGTTTGGTCTTCCTGGCTACGCCGCCTCGGTCGACTACATGCTTGAAAAGACACAAAACACCCATTTCAAGACATGGACCCAGGATTTCCCTGCTTTGTTCAACCGAGTCGATTCCATCGAGTTCACCGTGAGCAACACCTCGTACCGTGTTGTGGGATTGACGTATTCTCCCTCTACCTCACCGGAAGGTCTGACGCTTCCGCTCGCGCTGGGTGCCACCGGAGCTGCGGGTTGCACAAAAGAGGGATATAGCAATCTGGACGTAAAAGGAAAGATTGCTCTTGTACAGCGCGGCTCATGCCCAGACGGCACCACGTTTGCCGGACGCATGAAGGCGGCTGCTGCCGCAGGTGCATCAGCCGTCGTCATCTACGCCAGCGATCGGTCCAATGTCACTGGCGGAACCCTCTCAAACCCCAACCCACTCGAGTACGTCTCAACAGGGTACATCAACCTCGCTGACGCCGAGCCCCTCGTTGCCCGCCTTACCGCCGGCGAGGCTGTCGAGGCCTACTTTCAGCAAACTCAGATTATCGAGGAGCGCATCACACAAAATGTCTTCACCGAGACCAAGGATGGTGACCCAGAGAATGTCATCATGCTCGGTGCGCATCTCGACAGTGTCCAGGCTGGTGCAGGTATCAACGACGACGGCTCCGGCAGCACCCTGATTCTCGAAATCGCCCGTGCCCTTCGCAGATTCAACGTCAAGAACAAAGTCCGCTTTGCCTGGTGGGGCGCCGAAGAGAACGGTCTCCTAGGCTCCAAATACTACACTCAGAACCTCAATGCCACCGAGGCCAACAACATCCTTACATACCTCAACTTCGACATGGTCTCCCGCGGCTACTTTGGTGTCTTCGACGGCGACGGCAGCACCTACAACCTCACCGGCGCCCCCGGCTCCGACGCCATCGAAAAGCTCTTCGTCGAGCACCTCACCAGCAAAGGCGTCAACGTAACTGCCGCCCGCTTCACCGGCGGAAGCGACTACCAATCCTTCATGAACATCGGCAAGCCCGTCGGCGGCCTGCACACTGGCACAGGCATCGAGCAGGACCCTTGCTACCACCAAGCCTGCGACACAATCGACAACCCTAACCCCGAAACTCTAACTATCAACGCAAAGGTATGTTTGTTATTTCCCTTTCCAACCCAGTTTTTTTTGTAAAGGGAATGGTTGATTAATAAAACAATAGGCCGCCGCACACGTCCTTTCCATCCTCGCCACCCGCGGCGAAACAATCATCCCCAAGAGCCCCATCAACACCACCATGATCACCGCCCGTGGCATCATCGGCGTCGAACCAAGGTGGACTGTCCCTGAAGAAGGTGAAAAGCACCTCGCCACATGTGGCTATGAAATCTAAGCCAACCACCCTGACTTTTGCGAAGAAAAAACGGGGGGTTGTTAGTAAAGTGAATGAAAATACTTTGTACATTAATGAAAAATGAAAAGTAAATATCAGTGTCCTTGAAAAAACAGACATTATCTTTTGAGTCTTTGGGACTCTCGAACGAATCGCTTTCTTTCGCTTGCTCGGTGATGTTGTAAATGGACGTTGCACACGTAAATCACCTACTACTCTCAGCTTACCCCCCAGTCAACCCGCAGCATCTGCATTCAGGTACCGATGCAAAGTAGCAACCACCCGATGCGAACACCCGCACTAACCGACGTAATCGCCCCCACTTGCGCCCCAACGACCCCGCACCTGCCCTTTTTTTCGCCTCACGTTCTTCATTTTTCCTAGTATATAAAATTCTTAAAATCAATATCTGCCATCAAAACACCATCGGTTGTATAGTGTAGTGGTTATCACTCCAGATTTTGACTTGCTAGTCAAAAAGCTTTCTGGTAACCCCGGTTCGAACCCGGGTACGACCTCATCATTACTTCGTTCTTTTTGTTTTTTGTTACTCTTTAACTTTTTGGTCGAAAGTGGGTGAAGTTAGTTTCTTTTTTGGATTTTGAATTCTGATTATGTCTGAATATGGCAAGTCACACTGACCATGAGCAATGGGCAAGGGCTGTTAACGAGAGATCTACTGATACTCTATGAGAAGCTTATATCACATTGATCACACATGTTGACCAACAAAGAAATGATACACTTTCGTAGTCTTCTATGATTATTTGTCAAAGACGAAGCTGGCTAATCGCATCGAGTAACACTTTCTATCATTCAACTCAAAACCATGGCATGTCTATCTTCTCCTCAAAGCGCCTCCAACCTTAGAACTACAGCAAATCATCAAGAACAGCCTCTCCCTCGCCATCCTCACCGCCCCAATCAAGCTTCATCAGCAGTCGATCAATGCCGCCTACCCTCAACGGCTCATACGTCCCTTCGCCCAACGTGACCGAACTCGCCGTGCCAGGCGCTGAAGCTCCAATCCTCTCACTATCTATTTCTCGCAACCGGTCCACCAGCGCCTTGAGATCGCTGTCTAGTCTTCGCCTCGCACGATCCATTTCGATACTGACGTCTTTTTCTTCTTTTTGGTAGTTCTGGGCATAGTCTTCTACACCTTCATCTTCTTCAAGGTCGAGGTTCTGCTGGATCTTGGTCAGGCGTGTGATGAATGCTACTAGTTCGTCGACGTGAGTGCATAGTGTACGCAGTGTTTTGGTGAAGGATTGGTCGGTTAGGAGGAGAGAGTAGGCGACTGAGGATAGGAAGCGACGGTGGGCTGAGGCTAGGGCCTCAGGATCGTGCTGTTGTTGGGTGTTCGCATCGATTGTAGATCTGCGGAATCTTGAGGAAGAAGGGCGGCTGGGTGGTGCTGTGGGTGGGTCTGAAGAGGTTTGTGGGCCAGCGACCCAGGTGATGAAGTGGCGGAACGTTTGTTGGACTACAGTTCCGTGAAAGTAGGCTTCGCTTTCCGCTAAGAAGAAGATGGCAGCGGCACACGTGGCCCAGATTTTTCGCATGTCTTGCGACCTTTTTGTAGTGCGTTGGCGGCGTCTTTTGAGTATTGCTCTTCCGTGCGCAGAGTTGCTGTATTGGTAGCCTGGGGGACATGGATAGTCTCTCCGTATAGAGCTGTGCCTCCATAGCTCAGCCAAGTGTAGATGGGCACGTCTGACTGCAAGTAGGCAAGAATTGATAGATGAGTAGACATCAAGATCTGCCTTTGTCAGAAATAGATCGAGGGGTGAGCAAATATCCATGGTGAGTGAGGTTGGCACAGACAGCAGCAACTCGTCAAAGGACAGATTCGGAAGTTGTGGAAGCGTGGAATCTGCGTCTTTAGCACGTCCCGGTGTTCCAGGGCGGTGGCTGGAGGAACCATTGACACTCAAGTGTAACAGCTGAGTTGCAACATCCAAGATATCGTCCGTGTTCTCATCCTCGCTAGAGAGTGTCGAAAGAATAGAGAAGGAGCGCATAAGGATATGGTTGATCTCCGCTTCTTTGAGTAACACGCCCTTTACTGACTGGCTAGACTTTCCTGACAATGAATTGCGGTGTCGCGACGACATTTTATCGTCTGCCTCAGCAATCAGAGTCAGGGCGAATTCACCCCGACCTATGAGAAAAAACTGATGTAAAACAGTCAAGGTCTCAATAATCTTCTCACGTGGTAGCAAGTGCTGCAGAAGGTTTCGTGAGAGCGACAAACGAATATTCGCTACAGCTTCAGAAAGCTTCGCTACTGATATTGGCGCGGTGACTTCAGAGAGTTGCTGAACGTGCTTAGGTAGCAGATCAAGCTCTGAAAGCGAATTGGTAGCGTCCAATGCCTTTGCCGCTGATGGTAGTGACCGAATCTGGTTGAGCGACTTTCCGACGAACAAGATTGAAAGAGCAGTCTGCCTGGTTACAAACTTGGGGAGCAACTTGCTCTGCAAGATGAAAATCTGCTCTTCTGCATCTTCGTCATCTTGTTGAATGAAGAAATCAATGCGACACGAAGGCAGGCGACCGTACAGCAACCATGTCGATAGTTGCCGTAGCCACGATGTTTCTGCAACCTTGCTCAGACCATGCGCGGCCTCTTCGATGTCAGGAAACCCAGTCTGCGCCTCCGCCCGTAGCTTGTCAATGATTCCAGCACCTGAAGCAGATTGGCTAAGCATTTTCTCGATTTTGTAAGAAGCTTCCGCAGGAATCATATAGTTGGTGATGTCCCAGAGCCACTCCATGATCCTGACCCATTCAGAAAATTCGCTGACGACCCCGGCAAGTGGCACAATGTTGTACGCACCAACAGTCGAAGCATCTTGTTTAAGGATGCGGCTCTCAACATCAAGTATTTTCTGTTGAAACTGTTCGAGATGATGTGATGTGATTGAAGTGGCGACTGCTCGACAGATGATGGAAGGGTGAGAAGCGGCAATCCAAGCAGCATGGTCGCGCAGTTTTCGGTGTAGCCTGGAAAGATGGCCGACTGAAGACAACAGTTCTTTTTCCGATGGAGAGAGCAGACGATCAGCAGTCGAGGTCACGTGGCCAGGGGCATCGAAGAGCGGGGATGAGTGTCCGGAGAGCGAGAGGAGGAGTTCGTGTAGCATGGTCGCGGCAACGGCAAGTCGCTTGTCCTCGGGCGAGATCGCGTCTTTCGCGACGCAAGACGCTGGCAAAAGACTATGAGCAAGCTCAAGAGCTCGAATCGACACATTTAACGCGTCGCGCTGCGCGCACGTCTCGATACGGATAGATTGGGTATGGTGGGATGGAGGTCAACAATCCCCGCGCTAGCGACAGACGCTCAGGCACCGCAGTTCACGACACTGTGCAGGGGGCAACTCTTGACAACCACAGCGCAGTGGCACTTCACAAAGTTTGCCAATATGAATTTTCCTGAAACGGACATTGTGCAAATACCTCTGGAATATGTACACGACATCCGCGATACAGCATCATCTGATCAAACCCGCCTCGTCACACCTAAGATTCGGTCACCCTGCTGTGGAATACAGCGTATTACTCACACGAATCAATAGGGATACACTCTGGTACATATTATCTTGTAACCTCTACGGCTTATCATTTCTAAGAACATAATAATTTAAACATCCAAGCGCCTTTGAGAGTTGGACATGTATATGGCTGTTCGCTTGTCCTATCTGTACTCGAAGATATTCGAGCAAGCATCATCGTTTTCTTTGTTTCGAGTTCTTCTACCGAGTATGAAGGCGGGCTTGAGAAGCCGGTAAACAATGGTCACATCCAAAGAAAGATTTGGAAGGATCGCGTGACTATCAGAGAAATTGGCCTGCATGAGTATCAAAGCCGATGTGGTCATCACATTGCACCGATGAGACGTGACACCCGTCTGGTACGAGTAATGTTCACGTGACATTCAATACTTCTGTGTGAAAGATCATATCCGTGAAATAGTCGAGTTTCACTCTGTTCTTTCTTATCTACTTTAAAATGAACCACATCCCTTCTCTCCCTTGTTCAACTCACAATCTCTATCAGTATGAATGCACTCGACTTCCTAGTGGAATTTGTTCACCTTGAAGGCACCTCAGACCATTTACTCCCGCAGCACAACCAAACCACCAACCCTTCCAAGCATCCGATATGCAACAAAGGAGCAGAGATGATGCCTTCAGCGCATTCTATAGCTTACGAGCAGTATCATTTCACACAGAAAGCATCAGAACCAGAAACTACATACAATTTCCCCACAAACCTATTTCCTAAACAACACATGTTTTCGGTATCAACAAGTCATTTGCCTGATCCAAGTATTATCAACTTTGAATATCACGACATACCGCAACCTTCTATAGAGCATGACGATCATACATCGCAGACACTCACTGGATATCCACAGAGAGAGCAAGGAGATGAATCGTCTCACGAAACAACTTCCGTCATACCACAAGCATACTACCAGCAATCAAACAACCATGCACCATGGACTCCGGGCTACGAAGCCTCCAAAACCCACACCACTGTCCCGGACATGCGGTACGACGCTCAAACACCCTACATCTTCCAACCAACTCAACAACAAGAAATCCACTACGTATCCTTCTCCGAGGGCACCTCACCCGTCCAGATCCACTGCAACAACACCACCTGCGGATGCTGGGCCCAAAAACCACAAAGTTATCACCCCACAGAAAACACATGGCCGCCCTGGAACATAACTCAAGTCCCATATGGTTGCGAAGTGCCACCCATTTACAATGATTGGACATTGGAATCTACGAGGAGGTGTAATTTTAGCACTGTCTAGGATAGACCCGACTCACTTCATCTCACTACACCACACCACGCAATCCTAATCTTCCCAACCTACCTATTCCTCCTCTACCAGCGCCGCCGACTCCGCTACCATGCAATTCCGTCCTCTGGAATCCGAACGGAGAGCATTGTAACACATCGTTTTGGTGCTGGAGGAATAATAGAGTGATGTGCGTACAAGTTTTCTTTGTTAGGTTGAGGGCTTCTTTAACGATGGTGGCTAAAAAAGGGCCTAGAATTGTGGTTGATAGGTCATTTTGGGTATAAAGATTTGTTGGAGATGCAAAAGGGTGGTTGGGTTAGCAATCGGGGTGTTTGGTACATTGCTTTGGGCAAGAGATGTGTGTTGGGGCATCAAGTAGATTTCAGTTATGTTACTGTACTGCACTCACAAATTATACTATGTGCAGAGATCAATACAGTAGTACCACATTGTCATCACTTCACATCCTCAAGTACATCACATGTCAGCACACGTATATTGGAGACAGTACGTAAAGTTTCCAGAATATTATTAGCAGTACATGAATGCTCTAGTTTCGTCCCATTTCCGCGTCCATGAGGTCACATCCCTTCGTATCGTTCAATACCCATACTCGCGTCCAGACGCCCGGTATGGCAAGAGGAGATGAACGAAAGTCCAAGAAAAATCCCCTCATACAGACCTGGAAACTGAAATGTCGCATGTAAAGCACGAGTGAATGCTTAGCAATTGAAAAAAAAGGAGAAAAGAAAAATTGGGAACACACTGTCTCCCGAAAAAGCGACCTTGTGCTCCACTCGAAACGTTGTGGTACAAGATGCCGCAGGGTTTACTGTTTTTGAAGAAAATGAGGTGTGGATGGTGTTCTTGTTATGATGAGTAAATCACAACAGTCATGTATCTGCATGACGGGGCTCAAATTTTGATGCCATCAAGCGAGAGTGTCAACACGGTCTGACAGTGTTACAGTGAACAAAACACTCTTAGGCCGCTGCAAGTTTTGCCCATGTCGTGGGCTGATGGGTTGACGGTGTACGGGTGTTGCTGTTGCTAGACCACGATTTCGCCCCTGACGGATGAGTAGTACTGTTGCTCGTATATGAGCGATCGGCCTGACTTTGCTGCGATGGCTTACGCGGGCGATCCTTGGCCGCATTGGAAAACGCTGCATTCGGGCTGCCGGAAGGCTTGGGCTTAGCCTGTCGGTTGAGCTTGGGGCCGTAGTGCTTCCTCTGAACAGACTTTGTCACGGGCTCTCGCATATTGGCAATCCGTATGACTACGTCAAACTTACCCTTGTATTGGGCAGTCTTCTCAATGTCAAAAGCTTCAAGTCGGCGAATCGTGAACGGGTTCTCGAACTTCTTAAACTTGGGATACTGTTCATCTTTAGGGGCAGCCTTTGGCGGCTGGTCCGCCGCAAGATGAGAGACCTTGGACAGTTTCACCGTGGGTAACGAGCCAAACTCCCGATCTTCAAATAGGGCCTCAGCGCCTTTGCGAGTAATCACCTCGCTACCGCGGTCGTTTGAGAAGGGGTTCCTCTGTGGAGCAGTGGGGAGAGATACGGTGGCAGGCCCTGTGCTCCCGCGAACATCAAGTGAAGCCTTTGACAGTGCAGCTGGAGCGACAGCGCCTTGCTGCGGAATGGCTGGAGGCAATGGTGGGTTGGCAGGGTTAGACGCTGGACGAGTAGACCCGGGTTTGTCGAGAAGCTTGTTAAACCTAGCCTGCCATTCCGGGTTCATTGCGAGGGGCCGAGCACCCAGAGCCTGTCCGCGCGATGGCATAGTTACCTGGGCAGTAGGGGATGGGCCCGTGCCTGACGCCGATGGAGGTAGACGTACAACAGGGGAAGGCTTCGGTAATCTGACCAATGGATGTCCCGCATCGCTACTGAAGGCGGGGTGCGTTTCTGTCTCCGGTGGAGGTGGAGGAGAGTCGGCCTTGTTTGAAGTATGCATGGCTGAAGATGACATTGCGTCTAGGGATGACTCGGTGGGTCGAGGGAAGAATCGGGATGCACGAGAGCCAGTGGCTTGCTGGAGGGTACCTTGACCAAGGACTTGTTGCGGCGATTGGCCTTCATTGACAGGTTTGGGAGCATCGTCCTTCTTTAGGCTGTCGACAAGAGCAGCGTCAGGAACAACTTTGTCGTGCAACGTAACCTGTGCTTGGCCCCGCTGATCCTTGTAGGTCTCTCGCAGCTCGGGGCGGAAACCCTCACCCTGACGTTCTCGCTCCTGCCTGCTTCTCGCCAAAGCCTCCTGGTCATCCTTGAGGATCAGATCACTGAAAGTATCCCAGCCGCCGCCAGTGATGGGCTTGACAACCCTGCCCGACCTTGAAGGTGGAGGGGGCTGTGCATGCGGAGTTCGCTGCTGGAACATTGGCTGTGAGGCAGGCATCTGTCGGGTTGACTGTGGTGTAAGACTCTGGGGAGGGATAGCTGTCCCAATCGGAGCTGTTGCAGGTGCTTGAACAGGAAGTGGCGGCTGGGCTCCAGGACGAGACTGGCCTCGATAACCAGAGTCAAAGGTACCGTTGCCCAGGGCTCGATCTTTCGCTTGCGGCGGTCCCCAAACTTGCGAGGTCCAAGGTCGAGGTTGAGGTGCTGTTGCAGGCGCCCAAGTAGCTGGTGGACCCTGAGGCCTAGGCCCAGAAGGGACAGCCCCGTCTGTTTGATGTGCAGTGGCGTCAGAGTGAACAGTCAACCTGGACTTTTCACCATCACGAGCAAGCGAGCCAAACGGCTGCGCAGGCTGCTGCTCCAATGAGGGCGCGGGTGCAGAAGGCACCTGCTGGCCTGGTCGGGCGTGCTCTGTTTGGGGCGACTTCTTCACTGGGTGTGGCTGGTGCACCTTCATCATGCCATATTGAGTAACCTCACCGTCCGTGGTCGGGATAGGTGGTTTTGGCGGTGATTGCACAGAAGTTGCCGCCGTTTTCTCCTTCTGCACCGGCTTCTCAGGCCGAGAGGGAGACTGCTCCTTGGCCTTGGGCTTCGATTCAGGCGGACCCATAGCAGCAAGTTTCTTCGCAATGCGCTCTTTCCTCTCTGCCTCAGCTCGCTTCTCTGCCTCCTGATCTTGTTGCTTCTTAAGACGAGCGCGCTCAATCTTCTCAGCCATGAGGCGTTTCTGTACCTCAACAGGGTTCTCCACAGGCGGCGCCTGTACTGGCGCCGGTGCATCTTGCATGGCAGGTGAAGTGACGGAGCCATAAGGCGAAGCGGGGTGTGCATGTGCAACGTTCGGGGACCTCATCTGTTGGAAAGGCGAATTGCGAGAAGCCACAGACTCGGCATGGTCGTAACCGTTGATGGAATGCGATTCGCGACGTTCCATGTGCATAGGACCGGTGGGCATGTCTGGTGCTCGTGGATCTATCGACATGCGTCTAGGTATACCCCCACTAACGTTTGAAGAGTTCCTTCGCCTACCCCATGCAGGGCCGTCCGCACTTGCTCTCGATGTCTGGAACGCAGCTGACGGTTCCGCTGGGCCGTCCTGAGCGGGTCTCTGCAGCACCGAAGGCTGCTGTCGGAAGTTACTATCACGTCCACCACTTCTCCGTGCATCATTGTGAACAGGTTCATATCGACCGCTTTGCGAGTTGAAAAGCTCCCTCCCATCTCGGGCATCGCGTCCACCGTTATCATTTCGCCATGAGCGATTGAAGTCGTCGGGAGCGATTTCCTTGGTAGGTTGCGGGGGCATACTATCGTAACCATGGGATTCTCGCTGCGAGTAACGCGGAGGGAGTTGGTGTGCGGGGGGAGGATTGATCTGCGCAGGGGATACTTTCTCGATCGGAGGCAACGGCGCCCATGGTGATTTCTTCTCAGTCGCCGATGGTTTGGCTACCAATGTCGGCTTCTCTGGCTGGCCTTTGAGGACGAGACTCGATTTTCCGGTAGGTTGTGCATGTGCTCCAGGTTTCAAAATGGTCTTGTTACCGCCAGTAACGCTAGGCTTGGGTGGATTCGCAGTTGGGGCAGGAGATGTTGAAGGTTTCGGTGTCTCGGCGGGTACTTCAGGCTTGAGTATCGTCTTTGGCTCCTCGGCGGGCACTACTGGGGTTTCTGGCTGTACTGCAACTGAAGATTTTGTCCCGTCCATCCACTGCACAGTTTCCGGAGCCCAGTCATCTTCGTCATCGTCGATATCTGCCCACTTGGCTTCTTTGCCTGCCTCATCTGCCTGTAAACGTGTCGCAAGGTGGATTCCGTACTGCTGTTTCAGCTCTTCGTCGGTGAATTGCTTCGGTGGAGGTGGAGGTACTGGCTGGTTCTTATTCCAGACTTTGCTCGCATCTGGGCCTGCGCCCGCGCCGTTGGCCTGTCCGAGCGTACGTGGGGTGTTGCCAGTACCTGATTTCGCGACGAGGCGAGGTTTTGCCGAAAGCACGTTGGAAGTCTTGAGGGATGCAGTAGGAGTCGCTTTATCGCCCGGTCGCGCAGCGGGAGTCGATGTAACCGTTTTCGCCAGAAAGCTCTTTGTCACAGATACCGACTTGAAGGGCTGCTTCTTCGCTGCTGAGCTGGTCCGTACATGACTTCCATCCCGCTTCGACTGATCAACGCTACCAGGACGGCTAATGTCTGTATCCGAACCACCGCTTGCGTCAGCCAGAGCCTGTGAGTCGGACACCGAGAGTTCGCTGGATCCCACCGTAAGGTGGGGCTGTCTAGTCTCATGCTGTGACGCGCCTGACTGCTTGTTGTCGGCCTGCCACTGTCAATGCCACCTCCATACCCCTAATCGTCGCTACTTACAGCTGTCGCTTGTCCTTGGGTCTTCTGCGACACGTGTACACTACCAGCCGAGGCTATATCTATGCCGTTCGCAGTGGGTTTGGTGGAGGGCGCTTCGGACGGAGTGGGTTTGGTGGTCGCTGTGCCCGAGGGCGGGTCGCCATTAACGGCGGGGTCGTTGGTAGTTGATGCAGATTCGTCGATGGGCGCCGAACGTCCCACCGACTGTGCTTCCTTTACCACATCGTTGGCAACCTGCTCTGCCATAACAGTTTCCGGAACTGCGGTGGCGCAAGACCCAATGTCAGAACTATGCTTGTACTCGGATTTGGAAGAGGACATTGCGTGAGCGGCGTCGCCTGGTGCGAGTCGACTCTAGCCGGGTGCCCGCGATCGCTCATATGCGATCCGTAAGCTAAGAAAAGTTGGAAGTAATCACCTAGTGTCAGATGCTTAGAGTCGCCACAGGTGTCAAGTGGGCGCTTCCGCAGAGTCGATGTCTGCAAGTTGGTTGCTTTGGAGGGCGGGTGGTGCGGAGGGTTTCAAGGGTTTCGAGGCGGAGCTGGCGGGCTGAGCGGGCTGGCGGGAGGGCTGGCGGGCAGTCGCGAACACGTGCAAAGTCGCGCTGTTTGTACCGGACGGCGAAGAGTCGTGGCCAGATAGGAGAGATTGGGTACAAGGAGCCCTTTGGCGGCGGGGCGGATTGCGGGTGTAGATCGGTGTATAGGAGGTTGAGGCGAAGTGTAGCCACGATGGTGAGAGGCGCTAGTCTTGGCACGGGCTGGGGCCTTCTTTGTATGAAGTCCCAGAGTATGACGAGGGCTTATGCACATCACATCCAAAGTATACATAGTGCCACCTTAATCATTCACATATGTGATTTTCACAGGGAAGTTGGAGCGAGCAATGCAAAGGCGCAGGTAGCCTGCAAGACAGGATCACACGGACATGGTGCAACCGCCACGTGAAAGACCATCATCGCTCCAACCGATATGACTGTGCGATCAGAGATGTCGCAAATTTCTGATGATGCATGTCATCTAGACGTTTGTATGCAAGCAGAGCATCTCGCCATCGCAGTTAGAGGGCATTGCCCGGGGCGGCGCAGCCTGTTGCATGTTGAAACATGGGCTGAACAAAAACACAGTCAAGTGCACAAAAAGAAAGACTGTCTTAGCAGAGTGCTTGATTCCATCTACACTTTACTTATACAAGTGCTGTCTATCCGGTCATGGTCATCCAGCGCATCTCAAACGAGCCGCTTAGTGCTCGTTGTTCTTGTGGTGGCCTGGGAGCTGTGAGTCACATCGCCTCATTTATGCAACTAGTCAAACTTACGGAGATGGAAGTAGTAGTTCTGGGCGTAGCCGAGCGCAATCAGGAAGCCAATGACGTGGACGAGCGCTGTGCTCGGTCAGTTTCGTGTTTAATATGCCATGATTTGCGCTTTGGTTCACAACTGCTCTCGTCCCAAGCGGCCACAGATGTACTTACGCCTTCCGGATGGGTTCTTGCCCATGTGCTTCTTCGCGTAGCGTCCGAGAAGACCCTTGGCCTCAGGCTCGGGAGCTGGGCCACGGGGCAGCTTCTCGTAGAAGTTGACGACCTTTTGCATGCGGACGGCATTGGGGGAAGAGCCGATGGCCTAGTGGGTGTATCAGCTTTGGTGGTGTTTAGGATGGGTTGAGCTATGGGCGTGCAATGCGATTCGCTTGAGCAACCGGGATTGTGGGCGAGGTTCGTGGTGGTTCAAAGCATATGCGATCACGGTCGCGGGTATTTACAATATCGCCGGTGAATTTCTTGGAGAATTGGAGCTCTTACATTGGGAGAGGCAATCTGTGGAGCATTGTCAGCACGATGCGCAAGAGGAGGGGCGAGTAGAAAGCCGGACCTTGGGGGGGATGAGGGTCGAGAGACCGCGCTTGGTGATGAAGCTCATCTTGACGGCTGTGACTCAATTAACATCAATTGCCCTCTCTCGGCATATCGGTCTGTGTTCGGGCAGCGTACCAGGGCGGGCAAGACGATGGAGTGGAGATGGAGGTCGTGCGGTCGGTGGTGAGGTTCGAGAAGAAAGCTGCAGGACGGATTATGCCGGCGCTTTTCGCCAAGGAGCCACCCCAGCTTCACCTCATCGACATCACCAACACCCGCGCCCGCCACATCGACTCTGCAACCACCATGTCTGCCCTACCCAGGTCAATTGCATCGCGAGTGCTTGCGCCTGCCCTGCGGCCCTCTGCCGCCAGATTCGCCGTCCCTTCGTACCGCGCGTATTCGACAAACGAGCCCACCCCGCATGCACACAAGACGAGCCCCAAGGATGCGCCCGCAGTCAAGCTCACCAGCTCTTCCACTCAGATTCGCGAGGAGGGTGCCGCTGAAGGGATGAGGAACCGTCCGGATTACAACGCCGCTATCGATTACCGCGTCTCGTGCGTCACTCGCAATCCCCGGGCACCATATACATAAATGACTAACATCTTCCCAGCAACTTCTCCCCCATCCCTAAGCGTGTTATGGATGGAAGTGAGCCTGGCGAGAGTGTGCCCGCCGCTGTTCTCTCAGGTGCCCCAACCGACCTTCAGGCACGCACTGTCCGGTACGTCGGCCCCACCTATCTGATATCAAGAAGCCATGCTAATACCCCCCAGCATCTATAAGCCCTCCAAGACAGCCACACAGTCTGGCACCTGGAACGCATCACACTGGCTTATGGACTGGGATGTCCTTCCCAAGGGTCACCGATGGGAGAACCCGCTCATGGGCTGGCAATCATCTGCCGACTTCATGAACGGACACAGGATCGAGTTCAAGTCCAAGGAGGACGCCATCAACTTTGCTAACAAGCAGGGCTACGAGTACTTTGTCCAGGAGCCCAACAAGCGGAAGTTTGTCCCCAAGGCCTATGCCAACCTCTTTACTCACAGCCCCAAGAAGCTCAAGGTTGTATTGACCAAGTAAGAGTTGGATTCAGGGGTCAAGGAGCAGCATATGTTTATACTCGATCGACGAGAATTTCGAATGTTTTTACATCTTAATGTCCAGTTGTGGTTTCTGCGTTGCGTGTATGTCTGGACACTGTTGGCCTAACGTGATACCATTTACCTCTAGAGCGCCTGCATTCTGCGTATACTCTGAATGCACATGTAGGTCGTCACTGTACTTTTCTACCGTGTGTTCTCCTGCCGCAAGTTCAATATTTATTTGTCATACAAATATTTCCTGTCCGCTCATCTTCACTCATCCCACATCAGTATCAATTCACCGTCATCCAATCTCGCTACACACCACCGCTTTCACCATTAACATACACTTTCACCCCACAAAACTAAAGAAAAAAAAACACACAAAAAATCCTATCAGCCCTCAAACGACCATTCTTCTCATTGCTATCCTACCTGTCATCCCAATCAACACCCCCCAAGTTGCATCCAGCACCCGCAGCTCCACCCCCCACACACATACATAACCCAAGCCCAAGAAGCTCAAAAAATGGGGCGAGCAGGCTACGACACAACCTACGTCTGCACGACAACCGACTCCGCCGCAACGACCGCAATCGCAATGGCCGATGCCCAGCGCGCCAAAGACGCTGTAAGAACACACACACACACACACACACAGCAAACGATTATCCAGACCAACCCATTTTAATACAAGGCTAACACTTCGTTCCCTGGCAGAAAACAGCAGAACAAGCAGTAAAAGCAGCCACCGAAGCCAAACTCATCAAAAACAAGCATTCGCGTGGGATCGTGGTATGTAAAAGCGTAATGGAGAATGATGGTTGTTGGGGAGGCTGAGATAGAAGGTTAGGCTGCGAGATTGGCGATGCAGGAGAGGACTACTTCTGCTGCTGCTGCTGCTGCTGTTGCGGCGGCGGCGGTGGCGGCGAAGAAGAAGGATTCCTGATTCTACAGAAGAGCGGTGTCAAGGGCTTGATTTGGGCTTCTTTGCAAAGGGATGAAGGGCGGAAGGGCGGTTTGGCAAGTCCAGAGGATTGGAAAAAAAGGGGGGGCAAGGCAGAGGAGGCAGAGTAATGTTGGTGAGAAGAAGGGCAAGTTGTTCGCAATTGCACTTGATCGTTTCGAAGAGCCGTTGCTTTGAGAAGAAAAAAAAAGTGCGGTTGGTCCTTTTTTTTCTCTCCACCAAAGCCGAAGAGAAGGAGAGAAAAAAAAAGGTAAAGTCAAAAGTACAATGTATCAACACAACTAATCCTAATAATTTTGTCAAGAGAAGACAAAAAAGGAGGGAGAGGCCGTGACTTCATAAATTATGCCAATTAAAATGCTACAAATAAAACGAATCAAACAAACAACAATGTTATCTTATACTCTATTCCTCCACCTCACACTAACGGTCCTGACCCTCTTCGCCGCGGAAACAGCTCTAATCGCATCTCTTGTCGGTCCAAAAAACTTGGCTGCCATTTTTTGTACGCCAGTAGTCAAATTGGGGTGCTCGCCATCATCCGTATCCCTGACAGCATCGAAGCCAGAAAAGTTGTCGACAAAGCGGACGGGGCTCTGGGCTGTATTTTGCGTAGCGATGTATGTTGCGATTGCGGCGTTGAGGTCCTTGATACCCTGCACAGGGGTGGCTTTGAAGCGGGCGGGGTCCAGAGGAAGCAGGTTGGAGAAGATGATTTGCATTCTGCTGTTGCTGGCGCGCATTTGGGAGATGAGGACGTCGTAGGAGGCGAGGATCTGGACAATGGGTTTTTGACCGATGAGAACGTCGTTGGTGCCGATGAGCATGATGACTACGTCCGGGGGATTCTGCTTCAGCTTGGCTACCAGGTTGGTGGTGGCAGCCCAGGCAGTTGCTTGAGATCCGGGGTGGCCTTCGTGGTCTTGGTCGATGTTGGTGCCAGAGCATGTTGATGTCTGGCTGCCGACAAACTCAAAGTTGGTGATACCCGCAGCTCGGAGAGAGGTTTGGAGGTTTGCGCGCCAGCATCGCTAAGATTTGAAGTTAGTACGTGGAACTGTATATATCAAAAGGTTAATGTGACAACGTACTGAGACAATGGACGCCCCAAAGGGCATTATCCTGACGGCTCTTTGCGCGCATACTTCAGTCGTCAGACTGAGAAGCCCAAGAACCAGAGCACCGAGTTTGACCATGATGTAGGATGGGTGAACCCAGATTGACCGGGGGTGTAAAAGGTTTTGGGGGACTCAGAGTGGTTCCTTGTTCCAGAAGCACTCCTCGAAAAAAGGTAAGCCGCGATTGAGTGACTATATACCGCGCACAGACATTGATTGGCGTCAAATATGGTTTCGTAACTGGCCGCCAAAGGATGTCAGATGTCCGGTTCCCTGGGATATCGGAAATGGATCAAGATTCAGTGGTGATACGAGGAGCCGGAGTAATTTAAACTGCTTTCACAATTTCGAACGGGCGGGAGGGTGGAGTGGCTGTACCCTGCGCCGATCCTGTAGTGAGAATCAAATATAGAGCTTACAATAAAGCTAGGGCCTGGTTCATAGCGATAAGTCCAAATAGGGGAAGGGTAAATTGCAAAGATATTGCAGTGAATTGTAGCCTGGAACAAAAAGCCCCTCGGCCAGGTGGAAAGTGCTTCTTATATCCAAGTGTCAGACGAGGCGGAGAAGCGCACGGGAACCTGACTCCATGTTCATAGCCCACGCACCCCCCTTGCGCCCATGGGCGTCGCTAGAGAAACAACAGCGAGGATGTGGGAGGTGTGCATGACTTGGGTGGCGTGCGACGTGCGGCGCGTGGTGCATCTGTTGCTGTACGCAGTAATATTAGGAGGAAGCGGCGGTGCCTGGCTGATGCAGGGCCGGGTGGGCGCAACCCTGTAGGTAATGTCTCCACTTTGAGCCTAGACAAGGCCTGGTAAGGCTATCTGACCGCTAAGGGATTTAGCACGTTTAATCTGACGTTGGCGATGGATGCCGAGGGGGGGGGAGAAAGAGGACAGGGGAGGCCGACTGTCAGATGATAAGTGTGATGACAGTGTTGCATATCCTGCGACCTGCATTCTGAGGAGCCCATGTTGTTATTGCCCCAGACGTTGGAGGTGTCAACGTTACAGACATGGCAGAAAAGCAAACGGGTAAACAAAGGACTATGCGCCATGACGATAAGCGTGTCGACACAGACCCCTCTGGTATGTGATTGACAATGACTCTGTTTACTCTATTTTCGAGCAGGTTTGGCAGCAAGTTGAACAGCCACAGAGTCTCTGTCGGCCTGGCCTCTGGTTCAATGGGTTGAGCTAACCTGGCGTCGTCGTGGACTGCCGAGATTGAGTTAGACACATGGTTTGCCGGCAATTTAGGTTAAGCATGCGTATACTAGTTGGTATGCAGGGCGCATGCGTACTACATGTGCAAGACGTCGGTCGTCGGCGCAAGCGATGTCGGTAATATTGTATGCGAATGGCATGGTACGTAGCGGGCGCATACTTAGTTACGCAGTTGGCGTTCGGATGAGCAGTGGCATGGCTGTCGGCGGAATCGCCTGTGCAAGCCAAACGCAACAAGCGTGATGCACTGCTTGATGCCGCGGCCGCTCCGATGACGGTAGTGAAAACCTTGCCGTACGGCTGCAGGCCTGAATGGGGTGAGGTTGACGTTTTACTTCTTCCTCTTGCTCTGCCGCCATAGGGCTCTTCCCCCCAGGCCGCTAGCATACGCGGTGCACTATCGGTTGCACACGACTGTTCCTGCCCTCGCCGTCAATTTGACATTGTCGCAGAAATCAGTCGGACGTTCACTCGACCCGCTCATTTGCGCCGCCGCCAAGCATCGCAGTCTCCATTATTCCACAAGCGCGAGGAATGGAAGGCGAAGGAATCTAGACCTGGACCCGCAACCGTCACGGCCTTGTCGCTTAAACGAGTACGTGTGTATACCAAAGGGGACGTTCATTGCCCGAATAGGAACTAGACTGCTGCCAACAAAGGCAAAGATGGACGCACACACACCCTTCTGGATCCAACAGAACATGACAAGGCGTATTTCGCGGCAGCCCGTTTACGCAGGTTGCGCAGCAGCGGAAGGGTCCATACGAGAATTGGCCTTTCCTAGGCTCCGCTGCGGGCTTGTATTCGCACAACATATGGCCAGACTCCAACCACGCTGCGGGCTCTTCAGCCAGCCTTGCTCGCACTTTTGCCGCTCGTATATAAAGATCGACACTGCTGGCTGCATGTCGACATGCGTCTGCGGGGTAGTGAGAACAAGTAAAGAATGGAGTTCAACGGTACTAGACCTGAGAATGTCATTGTCCAAACATCGTGACCAGGCGTACTTTTTTTGGCGTTCGTTTTTTCGGGCGGGGGGGATCAGGCCTTCAGTCTGGCGTCAACAGTGACAACTGGATTACAACACGTGCATAATTCGTGCACGATTTATGCTGACTTCCGGTATCTGGTACCACTCCACCAGTACCCGGACTTCCGCAGTCAAGATCTGCCGTCAGATCAGACACAACAGATGAGATGCAACAATTGCGAGAATTGGAAAGCAGTCAGCCAGGCCACCACTGCTATGTACATGCACAGTCATATTGAGACAACCACCACGCCTTGCATACGTTGAGTACTCAGCCCACTCTCTGCATGCAGCAACACCATGAGAAAGAAAAAAACCCCGCAAAATCTCAAATCCGCGAGCCGAGAGGAAGCGTACTATTATCCAACTACTCCAGTATTGCCACCACTAATCGCGCGACACATATCGATAGACAGACAGTAGTAGTACAGACCCAGCCCACGCAATAAAGTGTGGCGCACATCCAACAGGGCTGCCCCCAAATGTCACCCCCCTCGTCTTTGTGGCTTGCCTACGATATACGCCCAAGCCCGCACCCGCAAAACAAACCCCCAACCGGAAAAGCTTGACTGTAGCACTGTATTGAGCTTAGCAACATCTTCCAAGCCACTGCGGCTGGCTTGTCTCGCACCATGCAATTATGCTGACGTAAAGTCTTGCTGGCGTAAAGTCTTACTCGAACGCTGCAAGACCGCTGGAACATAGCCACCCACCACGCATTGAAAATGTCTAACTATGTCTTTCAGCCTACTCACTTTGCTCACGTACTAACCGCAGCATGAGTCCAGCACAGCACAGCACAGCACAGTAAGCCCGTCCACACACACACACACCCCGCCTGAAACACCCCCTCCGTCTCACCTCGTCACATACGCCCCATCCACGAAAAAAAAACCCCCCTCCACCCCATCACACATCTGCCTCCCATCCCCCACTCATCCACAAGTCTGAAAAGCAAAACTCCCAAGACCACTTCCCCCTAAAGCTTAACTCCTAAAAGCAACCGCCTCGGGTTATCCACAAAAAGGGGGGGAAGGAGGGGGGCCTGCAACGTTAGGGGACAGAATAGTAAGTAAAGTGGATAAAAAGGGGACGATACAAGCAACTGTTTCAACAGAACAGGCGTTCGGAAGTGAAGGGGGGATTCACCGAAACAGCATGGGCGTCGCGTTTGTTTCTGTTACTGTGGGGTAAAACCCACATAAAGAAGTGGGTTTAAACAACGTAAACAGTGGTGTGGCTGGATAATTGTAAGAGTGGGATTTAAACGACGTACAAAGGCAAGGGATGAGGAATCATGTACATACGTATTCTACTGACGCAACTGATACTACCCCTGTGTGTACGACTTAGTAGTCTGGGTTGAGGGAGATCATATACGCAATATGGATGTATATTGGTGTGATGGTATAGGTAGGGGTGGGTGATTGAGGGAGGGTAAGTAGGTAAGTATACGCGAGGGGGGGGTAGGTTTGCCGAGGTTTTTTGATACAATTGTTCATGGGTTTGTTACTAGTCATAGGGTTATAGGGTTGAAGGGGGGTGAACTATTATAGTGGGGATGAGAAGTGTGATTGTGATCAGAGTTGAAACGTTAGGTATGTGAATATCATGTTTTATTGTTGAATCGGGAATTAAGTATGTATCGGTGTGATGTTATTGCCTAAGAACTACATGGATGGACGAGTACATTGCTGGGAGATAACAAGACATGACAGATGGGTTGATATAGCAGGGAAACTTGCATCTGAGGACCCGGAGGTGCTGACAAGTCCGCTGCGGTCATGACAACACTCGGTTATTGCTCTTTGTTCCTCATCACTCTCCTCCCCGGTGCTGAATCTCATGTACATTTCTGATTCACTCCTCGCTCTTCCCATGAGGCAGACCCCTACCAGACGCAAGTATACTCATGCTTTCGGAAAATACTTTCATCTCCTCCGAACCGATACCGTGAGTTCCGTCAAGACCGTAAGTCTGCGGATGAGGATCGTCATAGAGAGCGTAACTGATCAGAGCGCGGTGATTCGATAACTCGCAATCTTCGCTTGTCGGCCTATACTGTGCTTCAGGAATGATTGAGACACCTGTATTTGCCGAGGAAAGAGGATCCATATCTATGTTGTCATTGTCGGTCGCGTTCTCTTTGTCGTCATGTTCGTAGTTGAGCGGCGAAGCAGTGTGTGCCTCACGAGCTAGCTGGTCCGCAAGCTTCTCGTTGAAGATGGTAAAAGGCTGACCTGATGAGACTGGCCAGGCATCTTTGTCGTGGCGAAAACATCTTTTTCCCGGGGACAAGTGTAGTGAGTCGATACTGTCCCTACGTTTGATACAGTTTTGCGGGTTGGCAGCTACTGGAGATGTAATCGAACTTTCAGCAATCGTGATAGCTGCTATATGGTTAGTATATAAGTGTAGGAAAACCGACGAATAGAGAGTGGTGCTTGCATACAATCACTGCCCATCTCTATCCTTGGAATAGTACTTCCGCTATCAAACTCCATCTCATCAGATGTGGAATTTTCGACATAATCAGCATATTTTCGAGGCTCTGGTTTGAATACCACAATTCCATCATCCGAGTCCGTATTATCTACAACATGTGAACGTTTCTTTTTCTTCCTAGGCACAATCTCTTCCTCTTCACTAGTCACAGCCAGAAACTCGTCTTGAGGATGCACATTCATATCGTACGAAATTTTCGGACCCGACACTTTGCGAGGAGAGCGACGAGTCGGTTCAACTGACAGTAGTCGTGATCGAGTGACTTTGCGCGTCTTGGTCTTTGCACCATGTTTTGGTTCTTCCTCAGCCTCACTGTGTTCATCGCTCGACTCTTCTGCATCAGTATAGACGGCCGCAGCATCTTCACTTTCGTCATCTGCATCGACACAGACTTCTTTCTCTCCGTAAGCTGAGCAACGCCTTGCCGCTTGCGTTGGCTGAATGGCATTGTCCATAGGATGATACTTTGCATCGTATACAAGCCTGCTCTTGTTTCGACTGCGAAGACTGTAGGAAGAAGTGGGAGCGGAAGACGTTGGAGGCGGAGGGTGTGACTCTTCAGCACCAGCGCTCTTGTCTTCGTCAGGTCCAGACGCAGTGATTTCAGAACTGAGGTCAGAAGATGTCGCGCGTTGCTATATATGTCAGTTGTAGTACTAGTCAATCCGAGCTACACTTACCGGGTTCTCAATAGATTCCGCGATTTCTTCACTGCCTTCATCTTCGAGGTGAGTCATTGTCTCTTCATCACCGACTTCAATAAAGTCCGAAAAGTCAATCGAACGAGCCATATCCGCAACCACTGGCCGCGTCTGTATCTCACATGTACGAGACGTGTCAAGATAAATTAACGATGCTATCTGAGCGACGAGCAGAACATGACTGGGTATGTGGAGTGAGGTGAGAAGTTTGTGGAACAAGGTTGAGTCGTTGGCAGGAAGGAGCGACTAGATAGTACTTTCCGCTACTCCAGCGCTCCTTCCTCACACATATACACACTGCCCATCAACTTATGAAAGATCTGACTGTAACCAGAGAGCTGATATATGATCAAGTCCACATCGATGACGCATTTGCAACAGTACTTTCACACCCGACAACGCACCTCTCCAACACCACCATTCAAATCATAAAAATCACAACATCTATTAACGAACGAAATCTTACATCCACACACCCAGTCTCAAGCCAAAACACCGGTGAAGAAAAAAGGCGGGATACAATACCATCTAATCCATAAAAAAGACTTGCACCAAAAAAAAACACTCTCTTCATTGATTAACAGAAGACTATAACACATGAAGCACTAATGTCTGATCGAACCGACATAGAAACGGGATCCTATAAAGTGACATAAGCGAGTAGGGGAAAAAAAGCCGTCGCATCCAACGACGTTCTTTTGTGTAAAAACAAGGGAGTTGACCATCCCTCCTAAATAAACACTCTTGAATGAATAACTAATGAATAAACAGACATCCATGCACTTTCATAGTGAAACAATTAAATGCCAGATAATTCAGCTACTACAAAAAAGACAGCCGCCGTGTGGGCGTGCATTGTAGCTCACTCAAAACGCCGTTGGATATAATATATTTATGCCCGCCCTTCCAACCCCCCAACCCCCCTAAATTTTCATTTCCCACATGATATGAAGAGAAGAGAGTTTGCTTGTTGTTTTGGAAATTTCCCCATTTCCTTTGAGTATACAACATGATCCCTACCTCAGAGAAACGCCAGATGACCCCAAAAAAGGGCATGAATGAAAACATGAAACTCGCTTGAACGCAACTGGAGATAACGACTGTATGTGAGTGTAAGAGAGAAAAAGAGAGAGATGGAAAACCCTCATTGTCTCATCGGTTAAAGCGGGATGTGAGGCGGATGGGGGGTAAGACGAAATCCTCGTCAGAGTCATCATTTTCGTCGACCTCGATGTTGAGAGAGTTTAGTGGTTTCGAGACGGCGGCTTCTCTTGGGCCGGGGGCGGGCTTGGAATGTTCGTCGGATACCGGCAGCGAATGTACGTCTTTCCGATAGACCGCCTCGGGTTCCAGCGACGACATGGAGGTATCCGAGGTTTCATGTGCTTGCAACTCTGGTGGGTCTTGCGACTTGCGCGCATTGCATTTGTCGACTTCGGTCTTGGCGGTCTCTAACAGGGTCTCGAAGCTTTTCCGGATTGTCGCTAATTCTTTTCTGCAGTCGCCGTCGCGCAGGGTGAGATGCGCAGCCTTTTCGCATAGTTCTTGTGCTTGTTCTAGAATCTTATCTGTGGAGTCGAATAGTTCTGCTGGTGTCTCTACACCGCTACTGACACCTAGCCGGCCACTTCGTCTTGCTGCCGACCGTGCCCGTAGTGCTGACATGCGTGCTCTGTAGTTTACTTTGGCCGGGCTAATTTCGTCTTGGTCGTCATCATCGTCTTCTTCCTCGCTGGAAGATGCCATGGTGGCCATATCGTTCATCCTGGCCTCCATCTTGGCCTTTCGTAGCAGGTTACGTCCTGTTCCGAAAGCGCGAACTAGTAATTCAAAAGACTTTTGCATGTCCCCATCGTAGCTAGTTACAACCATGATCCGAGAGCGATGGCGAGCGGAGTCGGGCTCCTGGTCCGAGGAAACGGAGAGAGACTTGCGTTTTCGACTGACAATAGGATCGGCGGGCGTTGCAGTCGAGGGCGTGGCGTCTTCTGCGATGGCGTCGAGCTTGCCTGGTCGTATGGAAGCGGTCGAATCTGATTTCTGCTTTGCGAACGGCGACTGTGATATGGGTACTTTTGTGATTTCGTCTTGCATTGCCGTGACCCTGTCCTCGGCGGTCGTAATCTGGTGCAGCCATTGTGGGATGTTGTCCTGGAGAAAGGCAAACGACTTGTCGATGTCAGACATGGTGGCTGCTTGGGCGTCCAGCGAACGGAAATGCGGAAGTAAGCGATACGACGCAGACGGCCGCGGGTTGTCGCATGCAGCAGGGCCAGCAATACGGGTGGTGTGAACAGAGAGGCCTGGCAGGAGCAAAGGAAGAGGGTCGCGTGGTCGTGTGGTGGAGAGGGGACAGCGTCGGGGTACTTGAGTGTGTGAGGGTGGGTGTGTGTGCACAGCGGGTGCGGAGAATTAGTGCGAGCAGCGAACCAGGCGGGCCAGAGGATCAGCAGTTACTAGTTATGGGGGAAGAGCGGCTGGTGGGCAGGGACTAGGACCGATACAAGACGTGATCAACGGGGCCAGATGGTGACTTGTGTACCCCCGGGGGTGGTGCATTGCATGAAGAAGAAGAAGGGGAGGAAGAGAGGGGAGGGGGTGGAAAGGGCCGTCAGAATTACATACACGTCGTTGTCAACGCGGCATGCAATTGGAGTTCCCACGGGAGCGGTTCAGCAACGCGCAATACCCTTGGCGAAGATCGAGCCAGCAGGCTCGCAGCTCGCACTCGGTCTTGGTTGCAGGTAGACATGCGGCGCCATTCCATGAATCAATTACCTCGTCATCTGCCGCAACGTTTGGCCTGGCTCGACGAGCACCAAAGAAACGAGCGGGCCGATGGAGGCAGGTGGCCGGTTGACAAGAAGCCTTTTCTCTCCACCCCGTTTCCCCATGGCGGCCGGCGACGGGGGGCGCATGTGTTGCTGCAATGTGGCGGCTAATGGCCCCAATCAGCGCAGCCACGGCGCCTTTTGAGGCCGTGCCGCAGCGCCTCTGCCGAAACAAAAACAACCTCGCCTTTCCCTCGATGCCGACGCGCGAAGCGACACGCATGCCAGAAGCGGTGAAGGGAGCAAGGGAGCACATGGCCCTGCAAAAACCATCGTGTCGGCCTGTTGGCCAGTCGTCCAAGGGGGAGGGGGGTCAGCACTGTCTCTTGTCATGCTATCTTTCGGCCCTGTGTAGGCTTCAGGAGACCAGGTGGTATCCAGACTGTGAAGATGGTCAACTGCGCGAAGCGTCGACTAGACCAGAGTTTAATCGTGATTTGCGTGTGCACAGTCCCCAGTTGACGACATATCACGTGACGGGCCCATATCCGGAAACCGAACCCCCTCCCTGGTCACTTGGCCCGTGGACAATGCACCGACTTCTATATGTGTACTGATTGTCTGTCTAACTGGCCTACCATACGCATGTCTATACGGATGCGACTACCACTACTATATTGACATGCACGTGTTACTGCAAACCCTCGACACAGTCTAGTCGCACGCCTAAACTCTAAACCCCCTGTCCGAGTTGCTCGCCTAGCCCGCAGCCTGCGCAACCCGTCTCCTCTCCAACCGTTGCCCCAAACGTTGCCCCTCCGAGCTAATCATTGTCTGTGCGCTCGTCAGTCAAATCCCCCGATGCTTTTCATGACTGCAGAAGAAAAATAATGATGCCATCGATGCATTTCGCTGTGCATGCTCAACAACTTCTTTGTTACCGTTCGGCATCGTGAACAGGGTCAAGCGAGACCCTCCTAGGTCGCCGACCTGAACCAGCGTCCTGGTAAGGCTGCATCGGAGCAATGCTCGTCTACTTTGCCAAATTGCCATCAAACTCCGCTCCCCCAGCTGTGGGTGGCTGCGGCAAAGCGGTTACACAACAGATCCTCCCTTGCCTTGCAGAACACAACAACAACAACAACAACAACAACGCACATCATTACCCGCGCCTAATTGAGCACTTGAAAACATCACCATGTTTGTATTGTGTCACAAGGATCTGGAATATTATTCTTGTCCTAACAAAATGTAAAATGCGTCTCGACAAAACCTGCAAGCCTCTACGGCCACAGCTCCTCAGTCCTCCACCCACCATTCTCCTCAAACGTGTACCTGTACCTCCGCGCCTTGTCCGGTTCGCTAAGATCCGTCTGCTCCACCGAATCCGGCACAATAACCACCACGCGAAAGTTCTTACGTGCCACCTCATCATCCAACCCATCAACACTTGACCCCAGCCCAAGCTTCTGATCATACGGTTTCGACGTAGGCTGACCCGGCGGCGGATTCTTAAAAGAGCCTGTAGCAGTGTCAGAACACACAAGCACCAAGTCACATCATCATCAAAAAAAGGAAGGCCACCCTTACCCTTTATCCCGGGACTCTGGTTCCCAAAGAACCCCCTGAGTTCCCTCTGCCAGCTGAACTCGCCTTGCTTGCCTTCATCCACAACCCTCATCCTCTTGCCCAATTCGCTCTTGACAGTCCTCACGCCACTGCTCTCCTCGCTCGCCTCAATATCATCGGCAATGACGTATGCGCGTCCTTTGATCCGCCATTGCGAGCCTGTATCAGCGTTCCAGTACACTGCCTCTACGGGCCCTCCGCCTCCACTTCCTTGTACCTGCTCGCTGCTCTCCGCGTGTCCCGCGCTCGACGCAAATATCTGTCCCACCTTCTCCATGCGCACATCCGTCGTGAATGTCGGGCAGTCGCTCTGGTACACGGGTGGGTTTCGCTCCGCGTCGTTGTGCTTATTCTCTGGCAGCTCAGTCCAGAAGCCGCGGTGAATGCAGTATCGCACGCGCGGCACATACGGTGTAGGCGAGCCTTCCGGCGCTTTATCGAGCGTCCCAAGCACAAACTCGGGCGACTTCATCTTGGAGATGTGTTCGCTGAAAAGCGCTTTCCATGGTGCTTGAGGCAGCGCTGCTGCTGAGGGCGTAGTGGTAGACATGGTGCGTAGGACACGCGAGAGGCGGTGCGAAGCGGTACGTGAAGCTGTGCGTGAAGCTATATTTGCGGAACTACTCGGCCGAGAAGAAGTAGCAAGGTGAGTCGCAAGCGTTCTAGAGGACATGTCTAAAAGCTCAAGTCGGTCGAGCAATTGATATGTCTCCCCCAAGTGATGTCGTCATCATCTAACCCCCAATCACCCTACGCAACGTCGTGCAACAAAAGTCAATGAGGTCAGTACACCCGCTCTACTAGTGCAACCAAACTCCTAAACCATTCCAAGTCTCAAAAATCTCCATGGTAGAAAATCGCATTGTTAGCAATTCCCAATATTCAACTATTGACAACAACAAAATCCCCTTTACCCCTTCGTCCGCGTCTAGTTTATCCCCCGGCCAGTTTTTACCCCGCCACCCCATGCCAGCCACGTTGGCACCATGGGTGCGCGCGCGGCGACTCCGTAGTCCCCCCCAACCCCAACCCCAACCCCAAACAAAGAGTTACGGGTTAATATATATTATATATTATACGAATTGCTGGGCACAAATGCAAGGGTTATCGCGTGACACATGTTGCCGACTTGGACTGTCTTCGCTTCCCCTAGTCCGGATGCCTGCACTAGGCTGCGTGTTACTTCCAAACGTCATGGCCTACTATACGAGTGCGAGGACTTGGTAAGGGTTGGTACATGTGGTATTCTGATCTGGGTTGGAAAGACTATGCTATGCAGATGGCCAAGTCACTGTTAAATGGATAGACGGTCTTAAACACATAGGAACACTATTTATCATCTCGAGTTATTTCTGGTGCTGGCATCGAAAGCTATGGGTACTCTAGCAAAAGTAAAACTGACAATTAGAATCACTGTCTCAAGCCTTCTTGAAAAAGCTGGCAATACTACCCTGCCCCTTCTTACCCGCATTCTTGCCCTTTGCAGAGCTTGCTGGTTTCGCCGGTGCAGGCTTGACCTTCTTCGGTACAGGCTCCTCTTCCGAAAACGACTCCCAGACTGCCTCTTCTTTGGTGACTGTAACATGTTAGTCGATTATCTGGACCACAATAAAGTCCACTCACCTAGATAGCCGTCCTCATCCTTGACCTTCTTCTTCTTCATCACTCGTCTTCGGCCGCGTCTCCGGCCATTCGTCACCGTGAACGTGGCCTCGCCCTCTGCTGGCTCTGCGGCATCAGCTGCGGCGGGTGCTGCCGGAGTAGTTTCAGTCTGTGATTCTGCTGCTGCTGGTGCGTCGGGCATGTCTTCGTCTGCACAAGTTAGATTTGAAATAAATCTCCCCTACGCTTGACTCACCATCGTCTTCCATCATCTTGCGTAATCGCTCCGCTCGCTCCTCACGAGCTTTGCGAGCTGCTTCGTTCTTCTCTTCGTCAATCTTGACCTCGGGCTCATCGTCTGGATCGCCTTCGTCCTCGGACATGCCTTGCATTGGTTCTGGGCATGTTAGTCATGTAGTGTGGAAATTGGCACAAGTTCAACATACCGTCTTCGACTGGAGCAGGTGTAGACTCCTTCGCCTTTGGCTTGGCCTTGGCAAATGACTTGAATATATCACTGGATGCCTTGTCCTTCTTCGCTCCCGGCTTGGAGTCGGACCGCTTGAGTGTACTTGTGCCCGCAGAAGATTGTGGAGTTGGCCGCCCCGATGCATTTTCCTCAGTGCTTTCCTTGTCCTTTGTACCCAAAGTTGCAGCAGGTTTGCTGGCTGGCTTCTCAGCAGGCTTGGATGCTGGCTTTGCGGAAACTTTTGAGGAACTGGCTGCGGCGGGAGGGGCGTACTTCGCAGTCCTTCTCTGTAGCGACATTAGCTTGATTGTCTACATGCTGCACGAGATAAACATCATACCTTGATGTACTCGTTACGAATTGACCCATACGTCTTCCATCGCTCCAAAGGGTTCACATCTGCGTACTTTGTCGTAACCTCGTGGTTACACATAGACAACACTCCGAAGATCTAGTATGTTCAGCACCGTCTATTGCGAGTCGAAACTGAGCATACCTCGAGTGGCCCGGGTTCTAGACTGTAGAAATGGGCAGATGCGCCTTCTTCCAGTCCTGCAAGTGTCTCTAGTATAACAGTCAGTGAGTGTCCATAGCGACCCTTGACACAACGTACCCTCAAACTCCTCCTCCCGAACTAGCAAGACTTGAGTCTCTTTGACGCCTCTTGGTGCAGGAGTATTCTCATCGTCAGGACTGCTGTCGTAATCCGAGTCTTCATTTTCCTCTTGGTCGGGCATGGAACTCATGAATGGAGAGCTGCGCATATCGGTGTCGTCGCCTTTTCGGATTTTGGAGCCATTGCTCTGTTCGCTGTTTCGAGGTGTACCGGTGAGGAGATAGGTGGCGTGAACAGATTTCGGCTTGCGTGCATTTTGCGTCTTGTAAAACTCAGCGAGCATTCTGTCTGTGGTGAGCTCTGGTATTCGTCATTCGCAATGGCAGTACCAACCGTTTTGCTGTGTTGACATTGGTCTTGAGCGCTCTGCTGAGAAGCCTATAGGTGACAGCCTTATTCTCAGCAAGGATTCTTGCCGCCAGATAATCCCTGTACTGTTCCTGGGCCATTGTGTAAATTGTCGGCGTTGTTGTAGTCGTGGTAACTACGATGAACAAAGTAGTGGAAGCGCGTCGCGAGGCTGACTCGTGCTCACGCGTCTTGCACTCCCATCTCGACAAAACTGACTCGAGCACCAAGGCATCCATCATTGCACACAAGTCAACCACCATGTTTCTATCATGACCGAAAATGAGCGCCGCTGAAGACGAAGATCTAAAATTGCAGCGAGCATCTGCTCTGCTACTCTCTGACCTTGAGAAGCTTCTCCCACGACTGCTACGAAAACGCCAGCAGGGTTCTACACCAGGTTCTGTCCGCCACAATGTTAGGACGGCTGATATGCACAAAGCATGTAGCCTGGTATGGCTTTAACAAACTACCCAGTGATACTCGGGCTCACCATTACTAGATTGAGCCTTTCCAAGAGGATCCTCAACTTCTGGACACTCACCTCAAGACTTTTGTCCCGCCACTAGTCGATGCTTACTTGGAAACAATATCGACGAGTACCAAAGAGGATCCAAAAGATGGCTGTTTACCACTCTCACACGCTATATGCCGTATTTTGAATGTTTTCTGCAAGGTCCGTGGCGAAAAGGTCATTAAAGGATTCTTCAACAACGAGCCGCGTTACCTTGAACCAATCTTGAGGGAGCTCGAAGCCAGCAAGGATAGTACTAACGAGGGCCCTGAGGCAGCAGTATCCCAGAGTGATCGGCCATGGGTTCGCCGTTATGTACTACTCCTGTGGCTTTCGCAGTTGTTACTGGCCCCCTTTCCTTTGGAGTCCATGTCTGGGCTGCAGGATTCTGCAGAAGCTTCAATTGCGCCTGGGTTGAAGTTGCCTGCCAAACTACCCGGGATAACTCTCCGTGTGCTCTCCATATGCATGTCGCAACTCCGAGCCCCAACCAAAGAAAAAAGCGCAGCTGCGAAACTATTGGTTCGAATTTGCGTACGTCCCGATATGCAGAAAATGGGTCTACTGGACGCAATGGTTTCGTGGTCACTTTCCTTCTTCTCTGAAGTGAACGAGGAGCAATTTGATATACACCAATGCCTCGGTGTATTGTCGTTCATATCTGGACTCCTCGCATCTGCCACGAACGAAGAACTTGGTCCTTTTCTTGCTGCAACTTATCAGTCTTGCAGAAAAGTACTGGACCAAGAGAGCCTTGCCTTCATCAAATCGTCGGCTGTGGCTCGTAAGCTAGTCGTGAAAAGTCTACGCAATATCGTCCTGCATTGTATGCAGACAACCTCCATCGTACCTGGGCTTGATCCAACAACGGTTTTGGAGGAGGTTATCGAATTCCTCCTGGAAGCACTTGCAGATGGAGATACCCCTGTTCGATACGGGGCAAGCAAAGCGCTCAGCATAATCACACTCAAACAGGACACCGAAATGGCTGACGAGGTGGTCGAGGCAATCCTAGGCTCCCTCACCGAGAATGTCTACTGGCAGGGCTCCAAACGCAACTTGAGCAGTGTAAACCCACTGAGATGGCACGGATTGACGTTGACACTTTCTCAGCTTCTCTATCGTAAAGCAGTCCAAACAAACCACTTGCCTGACGTCCTGAACGCTCTTCTACTCTCTCTTGGATTCGAACAGCGATCGCCCACTGGTGGATCAATTGGCACAAACGTACGCGATGCAGCTTGCTTTGGCATCTGGGCACTCTCGAGACGCTACGCTACTTCAGATCTTCTTGTCGTGGACACAGCATCGATACGTGCGTCGAAGCATCTTAAAGCATTAAATGTACCTCAGGTCCTGGCAATCGAACTGGTAGTTGCTGCCTGTCTCGACCCAGCAGGTAACATCAGAAGAGGCTCATCCGCTGCTCTACAGGAATTGATTGGTCGACACCCCAATACGATTGAGGAGGGCATACCACTCGTACAAATGGTAGATTTCCATGCTGTCGGCCTCCGTCAGCGAGCAATGTGCGATGTGGCAATCAAGGCAGGAGACTTAAGCCCGCTCTACTGGGAAGCGTTGTTCGAAGGCCTCCTTGAATGGCGAGGAACAGGATCCTTGGACTCTGAGTCGCGTTTGTTTGCAGCAGAAGCCGTAGGATCTTTATCGAAAGGACGCTCCCTGGCTATGGTACAAAGAATGTCGGGACAGGTGCGCAATACGCTTTCAGCCTTGCGCCCCAGACAAGTAGAGGAGCGACAGGGACTAGTGTCTGCACTTGCAGCTCTCGTAGACACTGCAAGAACCTCAATCGGTAATAGTGGAGATGAAGCTTTGTATGCGTCTCTCTCGGATCTTTGGACGCTGTTGTCAAGCGACTTGAAGCTCGAAGACAAGGCGTTTGTCTCGCCGGCGCTTCGACCACAGTTTACAGCATCTTCCATATGTGCATTTATTGCAGCAATGGCTACGTTTACGACTGATTGTTCCAGTAGTATCAAGTCATCCGAGATACCCACAGAAAAGGTCTGTCGCCTCTTTGACCTGTGCCTCACTCGACATGAACAGCCAGTCTTGGATGGAATCGCCGTCACTGCACCAGCAGTCATTCTACTCCTATCCAAGACACCCAACGTCGACACCATTGAGGTCGTATCATCGTGGTTGACTAGACTAGAGAATGAAGCCTCGTACAACGGACTCAGATGTTCAGGCCACGCGGTTGCACTGGGAGCTGCATACGCCAACCTGAGTAACCTTCCAGCCGACACGAAAAGAGAAGAAATACAACGCCGCATCGTCAAGGTCCTCACATTCCGCTGCACCGCCGCCGTCGCCATCGAAGCCCGCACCGTAGCCCTACGCGCTCTAGGCGACCTCCTCGCCAGCAAATCCTCATCCTCATACCACCTCGCCCCAGACGCAGAAACACAAATCGGCCGCGCCCTACACATTGCACTCAACGACTACACCATCACCGAACGAGGCGACGTCGGGGCCCTAGTCCGCCTCGAAGCCCTCAACACCGTCCACTTAGCCTGGACATCCAGTCTCCTAACCCCAACCCACGAACCATGCGGCCGCGAAATCTACGCCGACGTCCTCCGCCTATCCCTCGAGAAACTAGATAAAATGCGTGTAAAAGCTAGTCAAGTCCTACACCACAACCTCGATCCCAACGCTCTCGACGCAGGCGTCTCATCTAAATCCTTTTTCCTCTCCGCCCTCGCTCCCCTGCAATCTCCAGCAGACGCTGTCATCAAAGAAGCCATCTGCGTCGGCTTCGTCAGCTCAGCGGGTATGGGCTCGGAATCTGTAGTGCAGAACTCGCGGAGGGCGTTGCTTGACTTTGTTGATACTTTGCCTTCTTCCTCCTCCTCTGAAACTGCAGGTCAAGCGAATCAATACTCCCTCCTCGACCTCGCAACTACCTTCCTCACCCTCCTAAAATCCCACCTCGACAACGATCGTATTTTGCTTCCGCTCCTCGAAGTCTTTGCTTTCCTTTTCGATATGCATGTTTTGCAACGTCTTACTACTACTACTACTACTACTACTACAACTACATTTCCGTACGTACACTGCTTTGTTCCGACTTCACATTTGCTAAATAGGGGAAAATAGCTTCCGCACCCTCCTGTCGTATACGCAGAAATCCCACTTCAAATCTTCGCACGTCCATAAGTTGCATCTTGCATTGGATATGTACCGTGGGTTGGGTAGTGTGCCGGTGACGCGCGAGGAGACGCTGAGGAAAGTGACGAGTATGCTATTGCATCCGTTTCCCAAGGTGAGTTTTCTGGTTTGAAAGACGGGGACATTGGAAAGCAGAATAGGGAATGCTAATATGAAGAGTTAGATTCGTGTTACGGCGGCGGAGACGCTGTGGTTTTTGACGGGAGAGGAGGGGCTGAAGAGGCATGATTGGAGTTTGCCGTCCAAGAGCTTGAAGCCTGCCGTGGATGGGATTAGAGCGGCGGTAGTGGCGGGGGAGGAAGCAACATGAACGGACACGGTCGTAGTGGTAGACGTACTGAGAAATATATTCGTGGGTGGCTAGGGCATGGTATAAATATGTTATGTACTGTCTAGTCTAAAGCTTGGCCTTGGTCTTGTCATCTTGCACAATAGAAAGAACAATTTGCTCCGCTTCCCATGCACTTCCCCAACCACTCTGGTAGCCATAACCGGCATGGCCATAACTATGCACAACCCACTTGCCACCAATCACCTCCTTTTCAACCCTAGGTCCGCCAGTCCTCATGGGCCGTAGTCCGACACCATGCCTGACAATGTCAAGTTCAGTTACCTTTCCAGTCTTTGGTGCGAGCGCTGGACACAAGTCAATGGAGCGCTGCATGATACGCTGGGCAAGGTTAGGGTCAGGCTGGCTCTCCCACGAGCCGTGCTGCAGACAGCCACCGAGAATGGTGCCTCCACCGACAGCTCGTTGCATAATGTAGGTAGCTTCTTCACTGCCATCATCAGTGCCACTGACAGTCAACATGACGCCTGGCTCGTTTCTAACGAGCACAATCTGGCCGCGTCCTGGGTATACGTTCGAGTCCATGACTCCGCCGAGCTTGGAGGCGAGAAGACCAGTGCAGTTTACGATCACATCGGCATGGCCAGAAGGGTGAAAGCTGGCAGCTTCAGAAATGTGGGAGAGAATGCCGCGTTTGATGATGACGCCGGCTTTCACACATTGGCCGAGGATCCAGGGCAGGTAGATGGCAGTGTTGATGCATACGGATGAGAATTCTGTGCCGGTGTCACAGTCGTCTGGGAGTTCGCTTTTGGGCAAGACACGGAACTAGGGAGTGTGAACACAGGGCACACCCATGAAGTAGTAGTGGGACGGCAACATACGTTAGGGACCACATCCTTGAACCAAGCATCTTCCTTTGTCAGTTCCTCAAACCACTGGCCAGTAGCCGTGCCAGCATCCTTCTTCCTCCCGTAGACACGCGTATTCTGGAAGTGGATGCCGGCCTCTGGGACTTGGCGACATAAACGCTCGAACTCCGGCCAGGTAGCCCTCTCGAACTTTTGCAAAATGGAGCCTGGTTTACCCACAGGGAAATA